CAGTGGGTTCGTCGCCACGACGGCACAGGCTTGAATTTTGTTATAATTATCATTATAATTGCATGATTAAATTTGAATGTGACAAATACTTTATAGTTAATAAATACGTTTTGTTTGTTTATGAAAGCGAATGAAAATGGCTGCCCAATGGGCAATTGACATCAATACTAGCATCCGGACAAACAAAGATAATTTTTTTGGTTTTCTGACAATGTTATTGATTGGGAATCAAGAGGATTTGAATTTATGATTTTCTATATATTAGGTGCGTGCGTTTGTGATTAAAGGGCCGTTTGAGATTGTTCATTCGGTGCGGTGACGTTTTGAAAACGCACCTGACATATTTAAGTAACAGCTTATGTGTTTTCAAAATGCAGAAAATAGCGTTTTCACGCCACAACTATCTAGGTGTGGTGACAGCTTATTAGCAGCGGTCTGATTTTTCCAAAAAAAATAAAAATTTGTAATAATCTCCGCACCTAGCGGTCTGATTTTTCCAAAAAAATAAAAATTTATAATAATCTCCGCACCTAGTTTATCAGCTGATTATTCAAACAGACCCTAAATTTGTGCAAAATTATCAAAAAAAATTACGACAAAATAATAATCGTATATGATTTAATATGTATTTTCAAAACAACTTTTATGATGGGAAGTAAATATGTTAAGAGTGTCTTAGACATAGGAAATTATAATACCTATACTAACTTCTGAATAGTTATAATAACTATATTAACTTTTACATAGTATATGTTTTTTATATAGTTTCATAATATCTTTTTCAATTAAAATGTAACACGCCCACACAGATTATTTATGCAATTTTTTGTATTCTTTGTTATGGCCTCAGCACTTCTGTTTAACTACAAGTTTTCTGCTATTTTGTTAAGAAAAAAATTATGATGAGAACCAATTTCTTTCAATCAGATTTAGTTAGAGTATGTTAGATGGAAACAAAGATGTGCCACTTTTAAATTTTTTTTTTTAAATTATACGTGTTGAATTCAGAACTGTTTGGGAGACACACTCAGGGAATAGAACATTGAAGTGGAGAAAAACAAAAAAGAATAGTAATAAACAGTGAAATTGCATAACATTTATTCATGAAATGAGCCCCCTATTCATAAATAAGGGGACCCTGAAATTACATTGGTGCCCTTAGTCAAATAGGAACAATGGGGGATATTTCTGGTGATAGCTATTAATAAGGTCAAGAGTCTGAGAAGGCGTTCAGCCAGCTGTATAATCCAGACGACTGGCTTTTGGTGGTCGATTGAACAATGGGGGCTCCTGGTCACATGTCAAGGGGCCGCTATTGTTCGTTTGGTTTAAGTCCGGTCCGAGTGGTGAATCTTGCTGACTTGGTCGTGCTGGAATTCGACCGGGATATCCTCTGAACTGGTCACCGGTTATCACCTGATCTGAGAGTTGGTTGTCAATCGACTATCATGAGCCGGGTGGACAAAAGATGAAATCTTGGGTTCCTCCTGATGGGCCCCAACTGTCACGTCCCTTCCCTTGCAACTGTTGGATCTCATTAAGGTTCACGTGGGCCTATTTTGTAATTACATATTTAGTTCTCTGATTCTCTTGCTTCTTGAGAATCACACTGCGAAAAGGAAAAAAGAATCTTAGATTTCAAAAAACTTAACTGAAATATTTACGTACGGAGTATGCATGCAGTTCTGCGTGCGTTCGAAAGTTATTCAGGAGGTATTGAAGGGTTATGTCAGTGTTATTAGAGTCAATACCCTCAATAATCTCACAAAACCCCTCAAATAATAGTAAGAAATAAGACCGCAAAACCGCGGAATGTATTGGCAGGTTATTGGGGGGTTATTGAGAGGTTATACTCCAATAGCCTTTCAATAACCCCCCAATAACTGAGTTATTGGAAGGTTATTTAAGGGAGTACGCATGTAGAAGTGCGTGTGTACTCCATACATAAATAGCGCTCGTATTTGTGATTATTATTTGCACAATAATTGAGCTCCCTTTGAACTCTGAGTCAAGGCCTTTATATAGAGAGAGAAAATGAAGAAAAACATATCTTATATCTTCTATTTCTTTTTGTGAGACTCGTTTGGTCTTCATTCGTGGTCATCACGAGCGATAATCCCTCCAAGTCGATCAAATTCGATGATGAATTCAAAAAAGAAAGCTTTTAAGGCTTTGAAGCAGAGCGTTGGGCTCTGGTTTAAGGGTGAGTGCATTGAAAGTTACTTATGAAGAAGATGAACTTTTTGGAAGACATTTATCTAGATGACCCGCACGATATTTTGAAGAATAATATATCTTTCAAAAGAAAAAAAATATCTTTAAAAAAAGGACCTAATCACCCGGATGATGGAAGTTTTAGTTTACAGAACAACATCTATTTATCTTACCTTACAGGTGTAAGATAAGGTTTATTTTAATCCTTGTGTCTCAATTCTATAAGAGAAAGCCCTCATAGTTAATTACGTCTTTAGAGCTGTGAGCCCTAAATAAACTCTTGGTTAATATAATGAGCCAAATTGTTAGAAATCAGACTTTCATGATTGGAGTGATTGAAAGTAAGTGGAGGATCCTAATTGGAAGAACTAAACTCAAAGGATTAAGACTTACAATTCGATGATAATGTGTCCTGGTTAAGGCTGGAATATAGGGATTCAACCATCCGATGAAGGGGGTCTATACTCAAAGGACAATGATTGAAGAGTTTTGAAAGGTTGATAGAATTTGAATTAATCAAGTGAAGATGAATCAAGATAGTTTGTTTTAACTGACAAAAGTAATTGAAAACCTTAAGCTAAGGATAAAGTCAAGTAAGGAAGGTTTCTAAATGAGAAACAAAACCTTAAACTCTATAAGAAATTCGGATAAAGTCAAGTAAGGAAGGTTTCTAAATGAGAAGCAAAACCTTAAGAGGTTGGTTAAACTAGACTTTAGGAATAACGCCCCCTGTCATGATGTTCATAGGTTTTTGTTATCCCAGAAATGTTGGCATTTGTTGACTATAACCAGCCTTATAACCAGGAATCATCCTTAAATGATGTATCATGGAGGATTTATAGTTTCAAAGCAGTCTGAAACATGTTCGTTAGTAATCATTGATTATTTCATTCTAAAGTATTCCCTTTAGTATCAGGGCGTAGTTTGTTTTTTTGTATGTCGTAGTCCATAACACTAATTAAGGTACCTACCAAAATAACCAAAATTTCTATGTGCAGACTAACCTGAGGTAAGTGATGGTCCTCAGTTTAGTGTCTAAGTAAGCTAACCTAAGGTTCATGTCAGATCTACCAAAGTTCTATCCTTGTTCTTTATCTTAGTGTTTTTTAAATGTTATTTGAGGTTCAATATTTAGTTCTTGTTAGTTTTTTCTATCATATATCCACTCCCCCTCAATGACTTGATCAACAACAGTCGCATCATCCTTAAGGTCGGTGGCGGTATCTAATGAGATGGAAGCGATCATCAGAGCTTCAACAACTGTTAAGAAAATATGAAATGTATGATTCAAGTTAAATAACCAAAAGTCAATTCTAAACAGAGTTAATGTAAGAAACAAGATCCTCAACAGTGCCCTCTAACTCTCCATCCATAGAAGAAAAGTCCTCCTTTTTTGGTTGAAGCCACATCTCAACTCCAGTCGTTACCTCCTCAAGAACTTGAGGAGTCAGGCCTCCAACAATAGCCTAAACGATCATTCCTCCTCCTCGGGAGGAGCTAAACCCCTCCTACGGGAGACGATTGCTAGGGCGCCCCCCCAGTTTCCTCCATAACCCTCTCTTGTAATGAACCAACAAAGACACCCAACTCTTCCCTGATTGTGGCTTTTGCACAACCCTTTTCTTTTCTTACTCAACTCCCCAATAGAGACCTCACTTGTCGGCTTCCACTTTGCCTCTAGTTTGTTAGTCTTCATATCTATTTCACTCATCGCCTTATGAAGTGCATCCTTGTCAACAGGCAACGCTCCCCCACCGGACATATTAGCAAACACGGGAAAGAAAAAACAAAAACTCTCAAAGGGGAAGAAGGAAGGACGAGCAAATTTTCTCTATCCTTTGGCTTATTTATAGCGACTTGGGTATGAAAATCTATGGAAGTTCATTATTGCACAAAAATGTTATTTCTTATTCCTTACATATTGAAAATATTCTCTTATTCTAGTACGCTGTGCAGCTTCCAATGAGTAAAGAGAATCGATGAAATAGATATGTATATGAAAAATACGTCAACACGAATCTCAAAAAAGACAAAAGACTCAGAAGAAAAATATGACAGATCAAACGTAGCTATTGACGATCAATTGTGATGAGATTGGCGAAGAAGGCGTATAGTTCGAGCAATCGAAAGAATGTTATAGAGGATTTCTCACAGGGCGACGCTTCGCTTCAGGTCGATCGACAAGAAACACCCTTTCAGATTAAAAAACCAACGAAGTCTAGGTTTGACAAACGACCGACGAACTTCCTACTGGTCGAATTAGTCATCCGGTCTTATTGTAAGCAAATATCTTTGTAATTACCAAAAGACCCTTTTGAAAAGTCAGTGATGAGTGGACTGATATATAATTTTGTAAAATTGGACTCATTCCTATAAATAGGAAGCCCATATCATGAATAAAAGTTACTCTATTTAACTACTTTCTACTGTGCTCTCTCTATCTTTTTTATCCTTCCCTTTATAACGTTCTTTACCTTAGATGTGTTTCCTGAACATTTTTTAAGTCCTCTCTATAAATTTTTTGGATCAATTCTCTAATATACAACATAAATATAAATATACATATACACAACTTAAAAATTTATCAAGACACATGTTTATAAGCATAGAATAAAATTCATCATTTGAATTTATATTTTTATTATATAGAAAGCTATGATTTATATATTTTTATAAAAATAAACTTTATTTTATAAACATGTGTCTAATTTATTTTTTAATTCCTATACCATATCTAATCAAAAAAAGAGAAAAAAATTAGTGGTGAAGCATTCCTACCTTTATATAGCCGCCGGGTGGTTATCGAATGGGTTCGCTTTCGCGGTGCATAGTTCATTGAACCGAACCGCTACAACTCTCCCTCCCACTGTCGACAAAATCGGCACGCACAATCAGAGTAGGTGAAGGTGGCGATTCAGAAATTCTCCTGTGGCGACCACATTTCCGCCATGATTTCCTCCCGAATTCCTGTTCCGGTTCTCTTCGGTGATGGTTAGAGTTTTCGTCTTAAGCTCATTTCGTTCCAGATGTGTCTTTTGCTGCTCTGATTTGTCGTAGTTCTAATTTATTTATTGAAATTTGTGGAGAAATCTGAAATCATAAGGGATTCACATGGGTTTTGGTGTATGAGACCAAGGGAGAGATTTTTCTTCGATCCTATCATGTTTTAACTTGTCTCGTTCGTGTCCTTTTTTCCCCTCTGAGATTTAGGGGATTTTGCTCTTGGTGCACGAATTCCGGGGATTAAGCCAGTATCTGTTTAATGGAGATTGAATAAAAAAGGATAATAATATTTCTTCTATCGCGTGTTAGTTATTGGTTACAATTTAACCGATAAAACTGATCAATCTATTAGAAGGGAGTGAGAGGAAAACAGGATTTGATTTTGTTTAATTTGAAGCTTTTTCTTCATGGATGCGAATTTAGCTTCAGGTAATATGATCCCTGGTGCTTCGTATGGGGTAATAGATCTCCAAGGCTCCATGCACATGCATCACCATCAAAACCCAAATGCATCCTTTCACCATCATTTACAACAGTCAGGCCATTGTCAACGTCAGGGCTCACTGATGCATCCTCCTATGCATGATGTTTTCCCACTGCAAATTAATCATATGAAAGACTGCGATCAACAACTGGTTCAGCCCATGATGGATTATGACAAGAAGGGAGAGTGCTGTAAGAACTCTGCAAGTGATGATGATGAACTGAGCTTGAACACTGATGATGGTGTTCTTTGCCAGAACGAAGCTGGAAAGGGGAATAAAGGCTCTCCTTGGCAAAGAATGAAGTGGACTGATTTAATGGTTAGGCTTTTAATTACCGCTGTTTCTTATTTAGGAGAAGATGCCTTGTCTGAGTGCACTAGCAGCGGGAGAAGAAAGGCTTCCTTAGTGCAGAAGAAAGGAAAATGGAAATTGATATCAAAGGTTTTGGCTGAGAGGGGATTCTATGTATCTCCTCAACAGTGTGAGGACAAGTTCAATGATCTCAACAAAAGGTATAAGAGGCTTACTGATATTCTTGGTAGGGGAACATCCTGCAAAGTTGTGGAAAATCCAGCGCTTTTGGATTTGATGAGCCATATTCCTGATAAGGCTAAGGATGATGTGAGGAAGATTTTGAGTTCAAAGCATCTTTTCTATGAAGAGATGTGCTCTTACCATAATGGTAACAGGTTGAATTTACCAGCTAATCCAGCTCTTAAGCGTTCATTGCAGTTAGCTATGATGAGTAAAGATGATCATGAAACAAAGAGGGGTGTAAATGATGAGCTTGATGTGGCTAATCATGGAGATTCAGAGGATGGGGAAGAAGATCCAGAGGATAACCATAGGGATATTGGAGGATCATGTTTTCACAAGAGAGTGAAGCATGGAGAAGAAATGTCCTTTACAAACTCGTTGGGTTCTCAGGATTTCAACAGAAGGACTGACCCAATGGCTGCTCACACGGATGCTAGCTATGCGCTGCCAGAAGGTCCTAAGGCTGCTTGGTTACAGATGGAGATGCTGAGGTCTCGCTCAATTCAGCTGGAAGAGCAGAGTCTGCATATCCAATCTCAGATGTTGGAACTTGAGCAGCAGCGGCTTAAATGGCAACGTTTTAGCAAGAAGAAGGACAAGGAATTGGATAAGATGAGGATGGAGAACGAAAGGATAAAGCTTGGTAATGAAAGATTGTCATTAGATTTGAAGCATAAACAGCTGGAGCGTGGACTAAATTGAAATATCAAATCCACATTTTTATCAGAGCTATAATGTCTCAATCTACTGGTTTTGAAACCTGACGATAATGCTAAGTAAACCTAAGAAAACTGCCTACTTGTAGATTTTTTTTGTCTTGTCACAATTCAGTGGCTCTTAGAACTATCATATTGGACTTGCTTTAGTAGATATTGGTTATCATAGCATGTTCTCGGTCATATATTGAAGAAGATGAATCGATTTTTATTCTGGCATCATTTTCTTCTGGAAAGCAGTGTATGATTGAAGTGCGTTAATCTTTTTTATTTCATTCGGATTGGCTTCTATTACTACGGATTCACAATTATATAGTTTTTATTTGTTTCAGGGTAGGTTTTGGAGTGTTTGCTCAACCGCATGTTCTCGGTCATATATTGAAGAAGATGAATCGGTTTTTATTCTGGCATCATTTTCTTCTGTAAAGCAATGTATGATTGAAGTGCGTTAATCTTTTTGATTTCATTCGGATTGGCTACTATTACTAAGGATTCACAATTATATAGTTTTTATTTGTTTTAGGGTAGGTTTTGGAGTGCTTGCTCAACTACTAATATTCATTTTCTGCTTATCCATTTGAATTGTTTTCAAATAACAAAGACATAGAAGCTATATTGTTGCCAAATTCCATAGTTTCTACCTGATAAATGCCATATTAGAAACTGAGGTTAGGTTACTTGGAGTATGGGTAACAGTCTTTGTGCTTTTTGCTATATTTACTTATGCCGTTATTTTTTAATTCTTTAATGGTGAAGCTCTAAAGGATAAATTAAAAAATGATTATCTTAAAGAGTGGTGGGACTAACATTTATTGATGACAATTTATTGAAAGATGGACATATATGATTTGCACTTGTATAATGAATGGTGGAAGATTTATCAATAAAATGGGTAGATAAAATTATTGTTAAAAATTAGGTAGAAAAATATTAGATCAAAGGTAATGTGAATAGAGTTATGAAAAAAACGAGAGCATAACAGGCAACCGTTGACATGAAGGAATTGCGAATGTGGCTAACAACAAATTATTAGGATAAAGTTAATGATGTTGTAATTTTATGATTATACTTGCTGTTTGACTGCTACATTTTGTTTCCTAGGACATTTACTTGTTTTGATCTGGTATATTCTTTTGTTTCTGCTACTTGAGCCTTTGTTGAGCGACTTTTACATAACTCAGCTGGTTTTCTTCTTAAGCTTTCACACACACACACGTGAATATAAATATAAATTAAAGGTGTTCCATATGTAAATACAGAGAAATTGAGTGGCATTTATGTAAATATTCCTATCATAAAATGCTTATGATTTTGTGGGAGGAATCAAATTTTCGACTCGATGAAGTTGTTCCTTGTTGCTTCTAATATCTGTTGAGTTCTGAATGTCTAAGTAGGTAGGCTTATGAATCATGATTCGGTGGCATTCCATATGAACATTAATGACTGTTTTTCTTTAATTAGCTGATTATCAAGTTTACTGATACACTCTTTGTTTTTTTTTTGGCTGATTTTAAATTTTTTGGAAACGAAGAACTCCTATGAGAAGCAAATGAGCCTATATAAGCAGGCTATGAATTACTGAATTAGCTTGATTTCTGCTCTTCACACAAAACAAAGAGTTCTGCTAGGTAAACGACTTTATAATGAAATGCAACACTAGTAATGTCTCTTCAATAATTTCTAGAATTCTAGTTCCATATTTTGATTTAACTTATCTTTCATAGACAATTTCTATATTTCATTAAAAAGATGTTCTATCTGCTCTGTTTCATCACCTAGCTGGCTAGCAGCATAGAAAATCTTCACACCCACATAATGTAAAACTATGATTTATATGCTTTAAGCACTTTAGATAAAAGCAGAAAACATAATACCTAATTTAAGTGATTAAAAGCTTGTCAAAACTATGATTTTTTTATTTTTGTGGGAAATTTACATCCATTCCACAGTTTTTATGTATTTACATATATATATATATATGGCACTTTGGTGTCATAAACATATGCTTGAAAAAATGTGCATACAAAAAAGTTAGTATTTTTGATGTGATATTAAAGATTTGAGTGTTATGAATGTAAATATGAAAGTTAGGTGTTAGATATGTAAATACATAAGTATAGTGCGGTGTGTATGTAAATGGCACCCCGCTTTCTAATTACTGAACTCTTTGATATTCTTCATAAACTAGCAGCGTAGAAAGCTCTGTTGTCTTTAGAGGAGAATATATTTTTCTGTCAGCTTAGCTCAAGAGAAAATTCTCGCACTAATGTTCACTACCATGCTTAACGGTATTTCCAAGTATTAATACGGACCGAATGCTGACCTGCAGAAGCATATAACTGAGTGCTAAAAAACAATAAAATCTACGTTCGTAGTCTAATAAAACGAGGACACACGAAATGTCCAAAATGAGGACACATGAGATGTCCTACCAACGGGATAGATGAAAAAAATAATTTTTTTCGGGCCGCCCGGCCTGAAACCTAGACCCGCTTTTTTTTAAATTTAAAAATTTAACTTTTGATCGTGTGACGCGAACCCAATCCAACCCAAAGTGGTGACGCTTCTAATAAAACCGCAAAATAATCGAATAACACAACATAATACTCGAATAACATTTCTTTTTTCACAAATAACACCACGGAATATAAAATAACCCCGCGGAATATTGAAATAAAATGCTTAGAAGGTCGAATAGCACCGTGGAAATTGAAATAACACAGGGAATATTCTGAATAACGCAATCCTAAATCAAGTAACACGGGGAATATTCCAATAACCGTAAAATAATCGAATAACACCACATAATACTCGAATAACACTTCAATTTTCACAAAATAACACCGCGGACTTTAAAAATAACGCGGATGGAATATATCTGTAACAAAGCGGGAAAGCTAAATAACGCAGAGGAGTATTCCTATAACACAACGATTATTTCCGTATTACGTGGTGTTATTTAAGTGCGAATCAGTATTATTCATGTGTTATTCTGGTGTTATTGAAGTCTTAAAGCACTGAAAGTTGTGAAAATATAGTAATTTCAATTGTTTCCGTTAACTTTCACGAATGACATAAGTTTATTTGTTTTTCCACATACTCAATATTTTTAAAGTTTGTAATCTTCTAATTCATTTAAGTGCGAATCAGTATTATTCATGTGTTATTCCAGTGTTATTGGAGTCTTAAAACACTGAAATTTGTGAAAATATAGTAATTTTAATTGTTTCCGATAACTTTCACGAATGAAATAAGTTTATTTGTTTTTTCACATACTCGATATTTTTAAAGCACGTAATCTTCTAATTTTAATTAAAAGATATTGAATTTAAGAATAAAGGTTCGGGTTTATTTTTTTTATACCGAAATTCTATGTGAATCCGACATTTCACATGTCATCATTTTATTGGACTCCAAACGTAGCTCTAAATTCGGAGTATTTATGTAATATTTTCTCAAAAAATTATGTCATACAAGGGATATGGTGTGTTGGTTTTTGTTTTTCAAGCTGTGCTCTATTTCGGCCCCTTTAAGCGATTGTATTTTTTGGGGGCGTCTACATTCATACCACCCAATTCTCATGTATTTGCATATATAAGAGTGTAGTGATTATATATAAATTATGATTTAATTTTTTAAAGGAAGAAATCTATTGTAGCAAAATTACTTTAATTTTTTTTAAACGGTACTTTGGTAGCTAATTTTAGGGACATTTGTAGCCTGCGTTTGGGGATGTTTGATCTAGTTGGCACTTACCCGAGGACCGTAACGCCAAATCTTCTTTCACGCCAGCCTTTGCACGAAGACTTATTAAGTTCAAATTTATTATAATTATTTTTTTAAATGAGCAATAAATTATGGGGGAATTTACTAACTGTTGAGTTCAAATTTGTTTGTCAATCACACCCGAGAAATAGAGTAAGAAGAGAGAGGGATAGAGGGAGAGAAGAGAATAGTAATGAACAATAATTAATCTTAATATTCATAAAATGTTTCTCTTATTTGTAGGTGAGAGAGTACAATGATGATATTATATTTTTTCCACAATTTGGAAGATGTCATACTAAGTTATTTTAGGTATTTTACATGCATGGGCTTCTTGTTCGACTGGTTTCTGGCTCGGTCGGCCAAACTTAGTTTGTTTCGGGTTGACAGGATCATCTCAGTCGGTTGAGCTTGATCATTATTGGTTGATTGACTGATGTAGTTTTGCTGACAATTAGTGATCCCAAATGAGGAGCTTGAGTAATATGCATGTAAATCTTCGTAAATGATATAGTATAGCACAAATTTATGTCTAACAAAAAAAAAAAAGTATTCCCTGTTTGATTGTTCTACAACCAAATTTCATGTTTGAAATTTCTCATTTCATTTGTGCCTTTTTGTTCGACCAAATCTGATTTGAATTGTAGAAGGGTTGTTTTGACATCTCCAATTGGCCGAAGTTAGTGGGCTTCTATTCTACTCTGCCTTTAATTCAACCTTAGGAATTTACGCCCCGATAAATGCTTAGCAAAATGGCAACCGAGAGATTCTCGTGCTACTTGTAACGGCCATGAGAGTGTTTTTCTCAATTTCCTAAACGGTTATTTTGTATGTTTTTATAAAAAAAATTATTTTTTTGGAAAATGAGATTCACACTTAATTTTTTTCTAAGAGAAAAAAGCATACAAAAACCTAATTACAACACAATACCAAACAAATATAAACTAAAATACCATCTAAAAGAAGAAAAAATAAAATAAAAAGTAGCATAAAAGACTAGAGGAACAAAATCTCCAAAAGAGAAACAGGATCACTAATCCCAAAGAGCGAAAGAGAGCCTGCAGCACAACAACAAGAAACAATTTAGAAGTCGAGCAAAATACAATTCAAAACATAAGTTCATCAAAAAAATATCAAATCAATGTTATCTATTAAGCAAACAACCACCTATTTGCAAAACAAATAATGAACAAGAAGAAAGCCAAAAAATAAAAATCCTAACCCAAATAATGCCAGAAAATAAAAGATACATTATATATCCATGTAATCAACAAAATGAAGGGACAAAAATGATCCTAGGCTCAGAACTTACCGGCACGATTATTACAATTCATTCTAGGAACTAAATATTCAAAAGAACGGTTGTTAAGTTTTACTATAAGTTTGGAAATCATCATAACTCATTCAATTTGAATCTTTGAAAAAAAAAATTCAAATATAAATCTATTCTTATCAAAAAAAAAAAAAAAAAAAAAATCATATCAGAACTAACGAAAAATCATATGAAACC